GTGACATGCTCACGGTCATCCCCGCCGTTGACCTGCTGGGCTCAGGTGATCCTTTCATCTTAGCCTTCCAAGTAGCCAGAACTACAGGTGTGCGCTACTACGCCCGGTTAATTTTTTATTTATTGTAGAGATGAGGTCTCACCAAGTTTCCTGGACTGGTCTCAAATCCACGGGCTCAGGTAGTCCACTTGCCTCGGCCTCCCAAAGTGCTGCATTTATAGGCTGAGCCATCAAGCCCGGCCTCATTACTATTTTATATTAAGAGAAAATATAAATGAATGTATCTGAGCATTTCAAAGGTTTGTTATTTTTTATTTACTTTTGAAAATACAGTGTATTCTGCGAGTTCTACTACTATGAATAGCATCATTGACTCATTGATCACTTACTATCAGCCAGCAGTCTATTTACGTGAACTCATGTAATCCACACAACAATGCTGTGAGACATCATTATTATCATCTGCATTTTCACAGATGAGAAAACAGAGACAGTGAGAGATTAAACAACTTGCTCAAATAACACAGGTAGTCAGTGACATAACTGGGAGTCAAAGCTTCAGAGTGTAGTTTTACAGTCCAAGGTCTTTGCTACTACTCCTGCCAGCCTCTTTATGCAAGCAACCCTGACCATTCTAAGTAAAGAGTATTGCATTCCTTTCCAAGATAAATACATAGACTTGCTACTATATTTGTTTAAATTTGACTTACTGGAGCCCAGCTTAGCTTTGACATTTACAGACGTGGGTTAGCTTTCATCTCACTGTAAGATAAAAGGCAGTGTGGTATTTAGTTTACCTGCAAAAGGCAGTTAGGAAGCCCTAGAAGAAGCTAATTAAAATGCAGCACATTTCCAAGGCACCATTTCTTGCTGTGTTACCATAGAAACAGTGGGAATTTCTGGTCACTGACCTTTGAGGGAATCTGAGGATACATTTTCATAAGGTTCATAAGAGAAGCCAGCCTAGCACATTAACCTATAGTTGCAGGATCAACTCTTGGAAATCCCCTATGAAATACTAGTTGATTTCAGAACCAAATTATGCTAGCAAAATTAACTAGAGGTTCAAACTAGGGCTTTCTGAAGGAATGTGTTTAATTGCTTCCAATATAAGAATGTATTTAATTGTTTCCAAATAATTAAAGATCCCATAGTAGCAGCAAAAGGAAATTTCAGAAAACTATTCAGGAAATATTGAAATTAATAGCATATTTTGAATAGTGTTATATCTATTCTATTGCATTTTAGGTTCTGTAATCTAGGCTTACTCAAAGGACAAATATAGCATTACTGTATCCAAAACAATACCTAGAAACTTAAAACTTATTACAAAATATCAAGATGCTAATATTATTTATGCATACAAATTCTTAATTCTTGACCTCTACTGTTTAATTCATTTATACTTTCAGTCACTCTATTACTAAATATGTATAATTGAAAATCCTAGTTATACCTTAATTTATATTTTTCTTTGGGTGTTTGACATAAACCAAGTACCCATAATTCAAGAGAGAAAATGACAAAGCCTGCCTTACTGTAGACTGCAGTTATTAATAAATCAATATTTATATTTTCTACAGAAAATAAATAACTTAGTTCTCTAATCAGAATATGCACACTTTAGTTACAAGGAAATATCTATCAGATGCTGGTTAATTTCTCTTAGAATTAGAAATCTCTCTCTCTGTTTCTCTCTCTCTGTTTTTCTAACTTATATTAAACATAGACAATTAAAAAATAGAAATGCACTAATAATTATACCTAGAATAGTGAGGCTACCAGCTCATTCCCTAGACTTTTGGAAGGTCCTCTTACATAACCGTGTGTCCTTACTCTGAGCAATTACATGGCCTGGGAGCTGACAGCACAGACTATGTTGCTATACTGATTGGAACTACTGTCTCTGCCACTTACTAGCAGTAAGTGGCCCTGAGAAAATTTCTTAGTCTGTTTGGTTGTGTATAAAATTAGAGTAATAATGGACCCTCTTAGGGTTGTCTCAAAAATTAAATGACTTAATATTGATAAATCACTTACATCTATATTTGATATATAACAATTTTTTAAAAAAGTATATCTAGTTGCAGGGACAGGGCTCATTTGAAAATATCAGTGTTGTTCATTTCTACCTTGCCCAAGACAGAAAGAATGAAGTGGGATGAATTCATTTCAGATAAAAACAGAGTGCCATTAGTGTGGTGGACAGAGGCTGTCTGTCAAGTTTACAGTTAGAAAATGTGTTTTTCTCTCTCACTATGGGTTTAGACAGCACTATCTCTGACAATTAATGGTTGTCTTTGAGGCGAGTGAGTGTGAGTGTGTCTGTATGTGTGTTTGTGTTTAATCCAGTAGTGAAAAGGAAAAATTGTTTTGTTTTGTTTTTTTTTTCTCTATAATCTCACTCACAGTACTCAGTATTTCCAGAATATTGAACTTTTGAAATCAGATGTATGGGTTTTTTTTTTTCCCTATATCAGGAACTCCAATTCTCTGTAGACACCAACTGGGCATTCTATAATTCAAATCTGATGCTGTCTACTAATGAGCGTAGATGCGAGGCATAGGCTCAGTACCACATGACTGTCCCCTCATTTAAGATGCCAATTGCGAGTGATGGGTCCTCAACTTACTCACAATCTCTATCTGATTTGGCCACCAATCCAAGTTTCCACAACTCTTTCCTCAGGCTTGATAATTAGCTAGAGTGGTTCACAGAACTCAGGAAAGCAGGTGGCTTACTAGATAATCTGCGTATTATAAAAAGGAGGCATGCACTGGGCAGAGTCTGGGGGAGGAGCATGGAGCTTCCACTTCCTCTCTGGACACATCACCTTCCCAGCACCTCCACGTGTTCACCTGCTTTGAAACTGTCTAAGCACTGACTTTTAGAGATTTTTTATGGAGACTTCATTATGTAAGCATGGCTGATTATTCACTCAATCTCCTCTTCCACCAAGAGTCAGCTCATTAGAACAGAAGATGTTCCTATCACCCAGGACATTCCAAGGGATTTAGTAACTCTGTGTTAGAAACTAGAGTCATAGACCAGATATCAGAACAAAAAAAAAAAAGAAGACCTTAATACTACTATCACTTGGGAAGTTGCAAAAGTTTTAGAAGCTCTTTGCCAGGAACTGGGGACAGATACCAAATATATATTTATTTATTTTTACTATGTCACGAATAGCTACTTACTGGATGAGCCAGAAAGATGAGGAAACATATTTGCATCTCACATTAGTGGAGAGATTTGGAAGACGATCCAACTTGGAATGTCAAACCACACATTAGATCGTTCTGCTGCCAATTGTGTGCCAAAATTCACCCTGAAATGTTTTGGTAAAGCCCCCTATGAAGTCAGATAAGGCTGAATGACTCAGACTCAGGGGAAATGTACATCTGCAAAATAAACCTAGGCTCAGACTCAACCTCAGGCCATTTGTCAAGTGAACCAGCAGGAATGATGCGAGACAAGCTTTCTGAAAAGGCTTGTGGGACTTACAGAACTTTGTACTAAAGTGCTTGGTGCAAAATAATTCACTGAGATGAACAAAATAATTCACCACTCACAAAAAAAACTACCAGATAAATGTTAAGGGAAGAAACACATGAGAGTAGAATTTCTACCAATAATTTTTAAGTTCACGGTCACAATTTTTCTAATCTCAAACTGTTCCCAATCACTGCTATCAGTCTAATTCTATTCTCTAGTTTTTATTTTAATATCAGTGTTTCTCACTTGTAAAAATATGGTGCCTTAGTTGAAATATATCCCAACCACCATTTTCTATCCTGCCCTGAACTATACTGTTCAACAACAAATCCTTTACTTGCTTAAACTTAAGTAAAACGAGAGACCATGTCTCTGTAGTGTAAGACGACACATGCAGTTTAGCACTCTGAAGTAGTCTCTTTCTAATTAGGCAAAAAAAGAAGTTTCCATGGTGACAATCCTTATAGTCACTCCCTCCTCCTTCCTTCTTTGCCAATGCCCAATATACATCATATTACTCACGGATACATCTACATTGCATGTCTAGAATATACTTTCTTGAAATTATACTTTCTACTAGTGACTTTCAAAAGTGACTATGACTTTTTTTTGCCTGAATAATTAAAATGATAAACCAAATACTTTTCAAGTTAATTTTATATAGCATTTTTCCTGTCAAGATGATCACCAGCACCCATGGGGAATTAATGCAGCTTTCTTAAAAAAAAAGACCTTTTCTAAAGAAGTATCCTAGAATTCATATGTTTAGCAAAATTTATTCTCTGCTTGTTCCCAGAGATGGGTAAAGACATTTCCTAGAGGGGGTGGGAGATGATTTCTAATTATGATTATTATTGTTTAAAGGGGGTGGGGATGCTGAGTTAAACAAAGTTATCAAGTTTCTCTCAGAGTTTTTTCTTGTTTTTGTTTGAGTTAGAGTCTCACTCTGTCATCCGGGCTGAAGTGCAGTGGCATACGCAACCTCGACCTGCTGGGGTCAGGCGATCCTTCTGCCTCAGCCTTCCAAATAGTTGGAACTACAGGCATGCACCAGTGTGCCAGGCTAAGTTTTTGATTTATTGTAGAGATGAGGTCTCGCCAAGTTGCCCAGCCTGTTCTTGAACCCGTAGGCTCAGGCAATCCTCTCACCTCGGCCTCCCAAAGTGCTGGAATTATAGGTGTGAATCATTGTGCCTGGCCTCAGAGTTTTTTTAAAATACGTTTTAATGTATCTTGTAAATATCTAAAGAGGATGTATTCAAAATCATTTTTTACACTTATTCAGCACAGCCTCTTAAAGCACTGGTACATACCAAAACCCACTTTGGGCAGTGTTGCTTCAAGGAATTCTCAGTAATGGATTAATTTTCCATTTCCTCTAACTCTAAAATTCCTCCTTCTTCAAATTGTTTAAACTTTATGTTTAAGTTCACTGTGTCAGTCTCATTTTATGTTGTTTGTAAGCATGATTTTATCATTAAAGTGAGATGGGATAAAAATAAAATATTTTTGAAATGAGATAACATTTTATTTTAGTTTTCACCATTTATATACAAACACAAGTTAATAAAACACATCACAAAACAGTAAACTTTCATAGTTAATATTTATAGGTGCATAGTTTCATGCTCACATTTTAACTATTATATATATTAACAAATTTCACAATACACCATTATTCTCAGACAGAAGGGATCATTAAAGACACCTAAAAATCTTATGATATATGAGAGTAAATCACTAACAATTTCTCAACAGCAACAAAAAAGGTGAAGATTTAGAAATAAGTGTTAGTCACTTAGGTGTTTTTAATTTTAACATTTTAGATTTGAAGCCACAATATCCACAGCACACAAGGATCCTGCTACCATATATTCACTTCAGTGAGAGGGAAGCACTGAAATGCTGAGTAGGAGCAGGTATGGATAGTTCAATCACTGCTGATGGAAGACTTCAAAATACACTGTAAAAACTTTGAGAAAATGTCATGACTGGGCACATTGGAACTGAGCACTTTTACAGGATGGAACATCTGTCAGCAGATCTCAGGAAACTAGGAGCAAAGATATTTCTTAGGCTTCGGGTTCATAGTCTTGATACCCTTCCTAATATTAGGAAAATCAAAAAGACAGCAAGAATTGTTAGTGAAAGTGATTGGTCATCAGGATGTGCAGCAATTGAGATAAGACATGAGTAAAATTTATATGCCTAATGGATCTGTAACTATTCTGTTACAATCATAATCTTATTTTTAATAGTTTTGTCTTACCTGTCAGATATAAAAGCAAATTATGGTAGTTGTCAGAGTTACACTATCTATGTTTTAATCCAGATGTGCCATTTTATGATCACATACCTAGTCCTGTAGGACAGATTAGTTGCCTTATCTGGCTTTCAGTTCTTCAACTGTAAAATCTGAGAACCATATCAAGTGGCCTATAAAGCCTCTTCCAGGGCTAAGATGCTCTCATTCTTCACAGGAAATTAAGGCATTTAAAGGCAACTACATTTTATCTCCTTTTACTCTTACAATTGGAAATTTCATCTCCATCCATGGCTTTAATTATTACTTTTACACCAAACACCAAGTCCCCCATATAATATCTGGATAACATCTACAATAAAAATATTAATGATTTTAACTAAAGGAATCAGATTAATCCTCCTAAGAATAACCCTAATAATATCAGGATTTAGCTTAAAAACAAACAAACAAATATACCGTCGACAACCCAAGTTGCTTTCTAAGTAAAGAACAAAAATTAATGGCAAGGTTGTCCTAGTACTTACAATTTGTCTTTGACTCATCTCTACAGTCTTAATCTAGCATTATTCTCTCTGTTCTCTAAGCTTGAATCATAATTACTCACTGTTCCTCAAACATATCCATATGCATCCTCAGACATAAATGCCTTTGCTTCTGATATTCCTTTGTGCTAGGATGTCCTCCCTTCATTTTGATTATCATATTGTCTAACCTCTCCCACCTTAATATCACCTTCTCATTAAAACTTCTTCTTGATCTAACAGATCCTTTAAAATGTTATGCTTTTTCATACATCTTGTACATTTTTGTACTTGTGATGCTTGGTGCATAGAAGATAGTCACAGTGTTTACTAAGGGAATCATGATGATTAAATAAAGGAACAATTTTATTTTCACCAAATCTACTAGAATGTAAACTCCTTGTGTCCTGGTATTATCAGTCACTCTTCTTTTTATTTCCTATAGTGTTTAGCACTGTGCCTTGCATAAAAGAACCAAAAAAAACCTGATAAAATCTTATTAAGCAAACAAAAAATTTAATCTTAATTTTCGTAAATGGTATTATTATCAATACACTTTTTAATAATTCACCAAGAAAAATATATAACCTAGTTACAACATAATTGAACTCAGTTTTTAAGGAACAATAATACATTTTATTTTCTTGTAATTTCTTTGTCTGGTTTTGAGATCAGGGTAATATTGATCTCAAAGTATTAGCTGGAAAATGATTCCTCTTCTTCCATTTTTTTGCAAAAGGAATTAATTGGTATTAATTCTTCTTTAAATGTTTGGTAAGAATTCACCAGTGAAGCCATCTAAGCCTGGAGTTTTCTTTGTGGATAGGTTTTAGATTATTAATTTAATCTCCTTACTGTGTTATAGATCTATTAAGATTTACTGTTTCTTCATGTGCAAGTTTAATTCATCTAAAAGTACTTTGTAATTTCCCTTTTGATACATTTTCTATTAAAGACACTTATTTTCAATCAAAATAAAATTAACAATCAAATTATGTTGTTTAAAATGGTCAGCCGGGCATGGTAGCGCGCGCCTGTAATTCCAGCTACTGGGAAGGCTGAGGCGGAAGGATCGCCGGAGCCCAGCAGGTTGAGGCTGCGGTGGCTGGGAGAGGCCACTGCACTCCAGTCTGGGCAACCGAGTGAGATTTCAACTCAAAAAAAAAAAAAAAAAAAAAATGCTAGATGAAAATATGAAAGGGGAACCCACAAAAAGTAGAAATTGTTTATCAAAAATTGTGTATTAATTCTTACATATTTAAGCCTCAGTCACCTTCAAAATATGCTCTGTTTGATGCAATACACCTATCAAGACACTTCTTCCACTGCTCAAAGCAGTTTGTGAACTCATCAATCTTGATGCCAAATCAACAAAATGTTTCTCTTTAAGGACTTTTTTATTAGGGGAAAAAAATTGCTCTGGGTGAGATCAGATGAAAAAGAAGGGGTCATGCTGCTTTTGGTCAAAAACTGCTGAACACTCAATATGGTATGGGCAGGTGCATTGTCATAATGGAAGAATCAGTCACCTATTTGCCACAACTCAAGACATTTCTTCGGCAAATCATGATGCAACCTTCTCAAAATTTCCAAATAAAAACTTTAATGGACAGTTAGATCTGGAGGAACAAATGCCAAGTGAACTACAAAGGGCCCGCCCTTGAAAAGATAATTCTGATTTTTTTGGGTGGGGGTCTCCTCTCATACATTCAATTGTTGCAAACCATACCTACTGTATAACTTTTGTGGGTAATTTTTAATTTTACTATACTATCATTCTAATAAAAATGTATGACAAAAATAATTACTTTCCTTTGGTGTTTGGTTGATTTCTCTAATTTTCCATTTTAGAATTTATTTTCAAATGTAAGTTTTCTAATAATATAATTATCTAATGCAGGGGTTGGCAAACTTTTTGTATACAGGTTCAAGTAGTGAATATTTTAAACTAAGTGGACTACCTCTTGTCATATCTCTTCCTCCTCCTCTTCCTCCTCCTTCTCCTCTTTTTCCTTCTCTTCCTTCTTCATCTTCTCTTCCCCTTCCTCCTCCTCCTCCATCTCTTTCTCCTCCTCCTCCTCCTCCTCCTTATTTTTTTTTACAACCCTTTGCAAATGTAAAACCAATCTTAGCTTGTAAGTTATCCACACCATACATACCTTGGATTTGACCAAGTTGTGCATGTAGAGGGCAAATAATTCTTGCTAAGGACTAACACAAGGGAAATCTGATAGTGATAGATTTTTGGCACTATTATGAAGACCCAACTTGAACTCCTAAATCTTATTTTTGGAGTTTCATGTATATAAACTTTTACCTCAGAAGGCATTTCATAAGCTTCATTGTCAGGATCCACGGGCATATCTTCCAGAATTCCTTCCTGTGGGGCCCCTTCTTCACTCTAATATTTGAAGTGGGAAGCAAAAGAACATAATGAAGCACCATTTTTTTACTTCTAAAAATCACATCCGGGCTCGGTGGCTCAGCCTGTAATCCCGCGCCTTTGGGAGGCTGGGGTGAGTGGATTGCCTGAGCCCGCGGGTTCGAGACCCGCCTGGGCAGACGAGACCTCATCTCTACAATAAAATCAAAAAATTAGCTGGGTGTGGTAGCGCGTGCCTGTAATTCCGGCTACTCGGAAGGCTGAGGAGGACCGATCCCGGAGCCCAGCAGGTCGAGGCTGCGGTGGCCGGATGCGGCCACTGCACTCCAGTCTGGGCGACAGAGTGAAACTCCAAGTCAAAATAAAAAAAATCACAAACATATTTTGGAAAAATCCTATGTAAATACATTTAGGGATGTTGGCGGAAATATTCAAAATGGCACAACTTAATATTACGACTAGCATTCTAAACTATGCAATTCCTTTGGAAAAACATTGGAAAAACATTGTGGCAATGTGAGTTACTAACCCTAAAAGTGTACAATGTTTTTGCCCAAGTAATACACTATCCAGGAAGTAATCTATAGATATAGTCTAAAGATGTTGTGTTCAGGAGCAATGACAGCATTAAAAAATTGTTAACTAAAAAATTGGATGATGAAGAGTTTAAAAATTTTAATTCAACTACTCAAGAGAGTATTTTAAAGATGGGTTACTAAGACCCAAGAATTAAGTAACAACAACTTATTTATGGTAAATGTTATCAGGACATAAAGTGTATGAATTATGGATACAACCCATGTAGAATTCAGATGCAAAGGTAAAAAGATTGGAAGAAAACACAACAAAGTATGAAAATTACCTTATTGAGTAGTTATATATGTTATTTAAATTTTTCTTCTAAATTTTTAACTTATATAGCCGTTGGTAATGTAAAACCATAATATTTTAAAAATTCTTTTCTGAAATTCGAACATCGAGACCATACATATCAGGGGAAAAAATCAAATACATGGTCAGATAATGTTTCTAGATATCTCTTTTTAGAAATAAGATACTACAAAATTCAGCTTGAAATAGCCATGGCTTTGTTGGTATTCTTCATTAAATACCTCTTGTTGCTTTGCATTTGTTCCAGCAAAGTAATTATAAAAAGATGATAGTTTACTGAAAACTGAAAGTGCAAAGAGGCAATATAAGCTCAAATGGATTTTCTCAAAGAGATCAATTAATCTCTCAGCCAATGTGGCTTATGTTTATCATCATGTCTGATGTCAATAAAACCTTCCAATGTCTTCATTACAGAAATGGCTCATTGGTAGGAAAGGAATAAGAGACTGACCAACAGTGAGAAAAGGTCAAATTAGAGATCATGCTTATGGTGGCTGGGCAGAGAAGCTTATAGATCATCCTTCCCTGCCCACGTCCTTTTTCTAAGCAAGCAAACAAAAAAATCCAAGTGATTTTAAATTAAATAAAATATAGACCACCCCTAAACTACCTCACTTCTAAATGTAAAGTAAAGCTATTGTTTTCATAGTTTCACTGTTGGTCCAAGTCAAGGATACAAGCTCTGATATGTGGTATCTGGGGAAAAGGCCTATCTTGTCACAGGACTTGAACTCAAGATTTTTCTCTAGATTATGGATATTTTGTAATGTAGACAAATTTTTATGCTTTTTCTGAGCATCAATTAGACTTTGTGATAAATGGGACAGCAATACCTTCTTTATAACTCAGAGAAACAAATGACATCATCAACCTTCTCATTAATATTTGGATAACTATTGATAGCCAAGTATAAAGAAAATTTCTTGTTTCAATGCATTTTTACACTGACAGGTAAAGATTTAATTTTATAATGTAATTTTTAGAAGACTTTGATATCAACAGGTCAAGTAAATATGGCAGACCTGGTCTGTATGTTTGACTATAAATACACCAGACATATGTTTGGGTGTATCTGTGTGCATCCTTCAAAGTTCAGTTAAGTGACACTGGGTGTTGTTCATGAATTCTTTGGCTAGATTGATCATGTATTAGGAACAATGAAATCCATCCCTGTTAATTTAAAATATTCATTAACCCAAGTTGTAAGTATATAATAACTGCTTATTTTTTAAAAAAATATTCATTTATGAGGATTAATTTAATTAATACTTTAAAAATTGCATTCTATATATCTACAAATTATCAAGTAAAATATGTATCACTTATTTTGAACTACATACAGGGCGTAAAAAGTGTACTCTCATGTGTGTTTTCATTTAGGTAACCACTGTATTTTATGTTTTTGAGAAATTATATTAATCAAAAGTTTAAAAATGATAAGATTGGCTTCATTGTGGGTAAGGTTTTGAGAAACATAAAGGAAATACCAATACTATATTCAAAGGGATATCACATAAGTGATAAAGACAGAAATGAAGTTATAAGAATGAAGACAAATACATGAAAGAAAGAGAGAAAAAATTATATAAGAAGGATGAACAATTGAATATAATATCAGTCTGTTCAGTAATTATCAAGAGGTCACAAGAACAGTCTTATGCTTTCAGACCCCTTTACTTACTCAGGAAATATATATATGTTACTTTTGCCAATCTCTAGAGAATGAGATTATTGACTGCATTAAGATAAAAATACTGTAATATTTTATTAATAAATTATCATTAATAATGGTAAAGATCTTAAATAACTGCATTTCACACATGAAGCAGAAATAGCTCACAGAATTCCTGTGAGGCCATCTATGTTATAGACTTATGAGATGACCACATGAGCCATCACACTTTAGCCACATCCTTTAAGGGAAACTTGGTCTCAGAGAAGTTTAGTAATTTACCCAGTGACACTTGTAGAGATGACTTCAGACTCTGCTCTTCACCGCTATCCTGAGCCTCTTCTCCAAAAGAGTTTTGTCATTCAAAATGCTTTCTTTTAATGAATTATCTATAGATTTCAGTGATTGAGAAATAGCACATTTCTATCATATCCCTGTTCCTTTACCACTTAGTAAAGAGTCTATGGCAGGTAATGAAAATTGTCTTAAACTCTGAATGCAGAACCCCATCACTTAAGAAGCAGTCATGGACCCCTGTCCACAAGTTTACCAACAAACATTATATGCTCTATGGGACCACTATATCTTTTATGCAATATAAGTCTACAATAACGGGGGGGAAATCAATATTGATTTGAGCACAGGTGAGAACTGCCTTTATCAAAGGCAATGACCAGTTGTTTATTGAAAGATTACCCTGAGGGCAAAGCCAGAAAAACCAACTAATTGGAATGAAGCATGTAAAAGGCCTATCTCAGTGATAATTCCTGCAAAAAAGTAGCCAAAATCCTTTAAAAACAAGCATTTCCAATGTCCAATCTCCTCTATGTTGTCCAGTACTGAGCTATATTATAACATCACCATCCACTCTACCTCTCACACACAGTCTTTTTGTCCCTACATCTTCACTGAACTTTACCATACAATGGTCAGCACAAGATAGCACAAGTAAGAGGTGGGTTATTTCACAAAAGCAAGAAATTAGGACCAAAATTGACCAGGAGAAATGAAACCTTACAGAAACTATCAAATACAAGAGGGGATACCCCCCCAAAATGGAATCATTTTTTGATGGGTGGGCTCCTTGTAGTACAGGCATCCTCCTCTAGGTAAGTGTTCTAGGAACCCACCTCCATCAGTGCACCAGCTAGCGTTGTGAGAGGCTGCATTTGGCTTCAGTGAATTTTCTTTTGGAGATTCTTTCAGTGTGTTTGCCCATTTCACGATAGGTGATTTAAAGTGCAACTGCCCACACCATGCTGAGTTCTCAGCAGCTTTTGACCAAAAATGGCATAACCCCTGTGCCCCACTCTCCCTAATCACCCCATCTCACTCCGAGTGACTTTTCTTTTGTTTCCTGAGATGGAAATAGACCTCAAAGGGAAATGTTTTGCTGATGTGGAAGAGGTGAAACCAAAAATGGCGGAAGCACTAACAAGCATCACAATCGATGAGTTCAAAAACTGTTTTAAGCAGTGGAAAAAGCATCTCTATGGGCGTATTGCATCAAATGGAGAGTACTTTGAAGGTGACTGAAGTTTAAACATGCAAGAATAAATGCACAAATTTTTATAAATAAATTCTGAGATCTTTTTGGGTCCCCCCCTGGTATGTAGGTTGCCATTCTTACACAAACTGTACCTTAGGATAAACAAGGAATTGATGAGTACAGGGTTTTCTTTATAAATGTAATTTAGCTAAGGCAGAAAAGACAATGGGCCTGGCCAATGATCATCAGCTAGTAGCATGACATGAAGTGATAGAACCATATACAGCAGGTTCTTGAATAATGTAGTTTCATTCAAGATTGTTTTGTTACAAAGTTGATGAACAAAAAACAAAACAAAACAACAACAAAAACACAATTCCCATGTGGAACCACTGTCTGAGTGAAGTTTGCACATTCTCACCATGTCTGCATGGATTTTCTCTTGGTTCTCCAGTTTCCTCCCACATCCCAAAGCTGTGCATGGGCATCTCCACATGATCCCAGCCTGAGTGAATGTGGGTGTGTGAGTGCGTCCTGCAAAGAGGTAGTTTCCCATCCAGGGTAGATCCCTGCCTTGGGTCCTCAGCTGCCAGAGTAGTCTCCAGCCATCAAGACTCTGAACTGAAATAACTGGATAACTTTTCTTGTTTTTATTAATATTTCTTAAGTGTACACGTAGCATATTCAATGTTTAATATCAGAAGTGATTTGGTCTTTATTAAGAAGTTTGGTGGTTTTAGAAAATAAGGCTTGGGCACATTCCATATGCTCAATTTTATGTTGCTAATTCTAGTGTTCTCACAATGCCATTTTAGGGTAAGAAGTAAAGGGCATTTGATCCAAAATCAGATTAATCTCATTTTTTTGAAGTTAATAAATTTTATGAAGAAAAGAAACTGAATTAAAAGAAAATTTTGCCATTTGTGTGTGTGTGTAGAGATGAGGTCTTCCTATGCTGCCCAGACTGGTCTTGA